TAGCTATGCACTGGCCACCTCTGTGGGAATTAAAGAAACATGATGCAAAAGTTTTATTTGTAGCTCGGTCACAGTTATAAAACTGAAAAAATAAAATAAAAAAAAATTAAAAAAAGAAAATATATAAAAGCAAACAGTAAAAAAAAGTAATGTAAATTTCTGCTTACCTCTTCTGCTCAGGTTGAGAGACTTCTGAGGAGTGGCTGCTGTTAGCGCAACCACTCCGACCTTTTTATCAACCGTCTCCGTGCGCAAAAGGACCAAAACAAACCAAAACAAAAGCAACAAAATAACCAGAAACAGGTTTACCCAAGCGCGCACTCACCCTTACGAGTCACCGCTCCGAGGCAGTTTAAGGAGAACCGGATGATGAAACAAAGACGGCGCTGGATGCGGTCCTACTGCTTGTGGAAGAAATTCTTCACAGTTTGCATGTCTGTGGTCTGGCTCACTGCTCCCCTCTCTTTTTATAGAGCGCTCTCCTGCCTTGTAAGTGCCGAGTGATGGTCCTAATGGGCTTGTTTTCCCTCCTTTAATATAGACTCGTCAAAAATAGACGAGTCAATGTTATTAATTCCATGGAATTAATGGGACACGCATTAAGCTCAGGGTTCCTGGCATCACCATCAAGCTGTTGAGAGGCAGAGGTGCATTTCATTTTTATGTTTCCAATTCAGTCATGGTTTTGCCACTAGTCTGTTGATATTCCAGAGAAACACTGTCTTGTTTTGGCGAAAGCTATGGAAAAGCCTTAAAATGAGTTGATATTTTATTACAGTAATAGATCTCATGTTGATGATAAGATAAGATAATTTTAATAGTTTCCCATAGGAGAAGTTTATCTTGGAAGCAGGGGCAAAACTGCAATACCACAATAAATGCCCATCAAAAAGTCCAGTAACCATGAATAAATACATAAAAACAAAACAAAACAAAAAAAGCAGTAGGCTGTACATCCCCATAACCATGTCCATTCACGTACAAACATCCTCTACATGCTACTCTTGGTCATCGTCTGGACCTCCTGTTTCTCTCTCTGTCCAGGCCCCATTAGTCTGCCATTTATCAGCTTAATGGAGAGAGGTGCAAATGAATGTTTCAGACGGCTGTATTTGCACAGGGGGACCCTGAACCTTCTCCCAGAGTTCATAAGAACGTGTTCTGATGCGAGCACATGTGACCCATCAGACAAGATGTTCTGAGCTTGCCTGATGGTAGCCTGCTCAAACAGGTGTTGTGGAGAACATAGATCCAGAGTGTTGACAATCTTACTTGCCATCTTCACCAGACTTTGAATTTGAGTTTTTAATTTGACAATAACATTTCCAAACCATCCACTTGATGCCATATCTAAGAAAAGACTCAACGGTTGCCCTATAAAAAAAAATCAACATTATCATTTTAGAAACACCACACAATCGAAGTCGTCTAAGAAAATAGAGATGCTGCTGAACCTTTGCGCATACATTTGTCACGTGTGCGCCAACTCAGATTGCTATCTATGTACGCACCTAAATATTTAAAAGATCCAACCTGTTTGATGGAGCAGCCATGTATGGCTATAGGACTCTGGTCACTGACTGATGAGGTGTTTATCTGCAGCTTATGAGAGTAAAACAAACTTATCTACAGCAGCTTTATGACTGATAAGAGACCCAGAATAACTGTATCATCTGAAAGTTTTACTATGTACTGATTGGGTTGAGAACTGACACATTGATTTGTGTACAAAATAAAAAGGGTGATAATCGTTGTCAGTTTGAGGACATGCAATTTTTGGAACTGGAATGACAATTGAGTTCTTCCAAGTATCATTCCACTAACAGTATTCATTTTAAAATATATATATTTTACTTTGAATACATGTAATTGAGAAGGGGGAAACATATGTAGAAAACAGTTATTGATAACTAAAAATAAATATAACGTAAATTTTTTGGCTTATATTTAACTTTTGACTTATTTAACGACATTCAAACAATAATCTTTGACGATACCTTGTCTTGTAAAAGTATTCATTCAGCTTAAAGTTTTCCTGTTGTGTTAATGCTGTATAACAAAAACAGGAAATATCAATAATAAATAAATACAAAGTAATAAATCATGGGCGTCAAACTCATTTTAATTTTGGGCCATTTGACAAATCTGAATGTTCTTAAAGGGGTGGTTGTGCCTGTATAGTTAAAACCAATAAAACTGTTAAAATATCAATAAATAACAGTTTTTTGCAGTCAAAATTGAAGATTTTGCGGTGCCACTTAAGAAATGTATGTATGATGTTCAATGTGACTTTTTGATTACTCGCCGTATCAATTACTTGATATCTAGTAAGGCTGAGGCTGCAACCCCAACGTTTTTGACCAATTCTGAGAAAATTTGCAATTTTGCAAATTTATAAAAAACTGGACTGGATTCCAAATTACTGATGTAATTTGGAATCTAGATGGCCACAAAAAAGCTACGGTGGGCCAGATTTGGCCCCCGGGCCTTGAGTTTTTAATCATCTCACAAAACACATAAAATGTGCAGATAAATCACATTATCATTATGCATGATATTTCTTTCTTAAATTTAACAAGCCTGCACTCTGCCGTGTTCCTAGACATAAAATTAAATACGCAGATGTTTGCAGTTGTAAAATTTCTAAATGACAAAACCTTCAAAGAGTATAAGGAACTTTCTGAGTCACTGAAACTTTGACTGGACAGTCATTCGTACATTGAAACTCACAAACTTCATACGTGCCACATTGGTAGGCATTTCAAACGAGGAGTTTTCCAATTTACTCACCAGATCATGTATGACTGAGTCAGTGACTCAAGTGACCACAATATCCTTGCTAATGTGATCGGTATGAATTATGATGTAGAAGACTGGAAATCTCCAAATGTGATTACCGTCAAAGAACAGAAGATGAATCCAGTCGATTTTTTTTTTATTCACTTGCAACGGTCATTTCCTTCATAACCGAGATTCTATGTGCACTCTGTGTGTCACAGTAAGGAAATAAGGAACTGGCCGATACAAAGTACAGACTTCACTCTGCCTCTTTCACTGCAGTCCATGTTTGAATCTACTGAATACAGTCGTGTGTTTTGAATATTGATAATTGTGATCCTCTGTGGTATTTTTGCTATTTTATCCCCACTGAAGCAGAGAAAATCACATCTGCATTTATAAATATTTAGGTAGATATTGTTGGATCAGTTGAATAAGCATTCATTCTGCCAGTTTCGTTGTAAGTTTCAATTCCAGTTTCCTCCTCTGCCACAAGTCAGCAGTTCACTGGGAAAGGAAGAAATGACACACTGATGTGTCTATCTATCTATCTATCTATCTATCTATCTATCTATCTATCTATCGATCTATCGATCTATCTATCTATCTATTTGGAGAGGGAGAGCATTTGTTTGAAGTGTAGTAGACGATTAAAGTGGATCTGATTGTTGTCTGCATCAGGATGAAAATAAACGTCCATTTCTTAGGAAAGAGGGAGTATGTTAGAGCCTCCTAATAGCCTTTTCACTGCAAATTACACAAAGGAAGCGAGTCAGTTGATTTTAAAGACTAAAGCAGAGGAATGCAATCCTTTCTTGAAATGGATATCAAATGGCCTGGTGTCTTTCTCGAGTACTCAAAGATTGGAACCAAATCCCTGCAATATTTATTTAGAATCCCAAAGTATGTTGGTTACCAATATCGTGTATAATACATTACTGGTAAAAGCTATTTTTAAAATGCAACTGAGTGCTTTTCATTCAAAGAAACTCCATCCGTGTCCGAGTGAGAGCTAAAGCAAATGCTCTGAGTGAATTGTTGGAAATAAGAGCTTATGGCAGCCCTTTCCATTAGTGAGGCTTTATTCCAACAATAAGGAATGCTGCTAAGGCAAGAGTGTGAGATAACTTTGCTGTTATAGCTTCTTCTGAGAGTCTCCGAGAACTACGTTGCAGATGTTCAGAACACCTGAACGCTGCGTCCTCGTTGAAACATTTCTTGTTCAAACCAACGTGAGAAAAAAAGTCCCTCCTTTGTGGTTGAAGTTGTGTCCTGTCAGTGATTCAGTTTCCTTCCAGACAACTGCGTCATGTAAGATGCTGTAAAGTGTTTGCAGGTGTGATCCTGTGTGCTCCTTAGTGTTTACTCCCCTGCGTTCTGGTGAACTCAGCGGTGGGCCGTCATCCACTAAACAAAGTCGTGGCAAGTCACAAACAACAAAGAACTGAGTGGGGGAACTTTATTTGTTTAGGTTGGCCTTTTCCGTTTATTGTAGGTCGCTTTGATATTGACTTCATTTTTTGTATTAAGTTTAAGTTATTTTGGCTTGATTTGTTTTATATATGTTCTTTTTGCTAAGTTTGTAGTTTTTGTTTCTTGATGTTATACGTCCCCCTTGTGGTAAGTTTTGGTAAACTCTCTCCTTTGTTCTTTTTCTCGTTTGTTTGAGATCAGTTACTGTTCAGTCGAGCTGGGCCCAAATCCTCGTTGTTTATCATTTGATTTATTTTACATTAGTGTTTGGGTCTTTGTTATACATTTTTTGCATCATTAAATTGATTCTCCCCCCTCCATTTTTGAACAGCTTTTGTTTTTCGGCTGTCAATCCCTGTGGTAAAGACTACAAAGACAAAATTACTTTAAAAACAGTTGCTTCACATGTTTCCTGCTGTGGCTAAGATGAATCAGTTGGTTACTGTCACAAACTTACTGCATCTCTGAATAGAAGCAAATGGGACAGTTTTTTTTTAACAATAATGTCCAACAAATATAAGAAATCAAAAATACTAAGTGTATTTATGGGATTTTTTTCAGTCAAAACCAGTGCCTCCATTTTCATCAAGAAGAGATTTAAAAAAAAAAAGATTGTTTCTGGTCTCTCAAAATGCTGGATCCATGTGGATGCAAAAAAAAAAGGCTGCAGATACGCCTAACTTAGTGAGCAACAATTACTTTTACATACATGTCCTCTTTCCTCAGCTAAATGTTCTCAAAGTGAAATATGTTTTTTTATTTAAATATTAGTCATTAACATACGAGTGCATTACTGCAATAAAAATATGTGTTAATTTTAACATTTACCACAATTACTCATAATAGTTTCCATCAAAACAAGACAGAGATTCTCTGGAACATCAACATGCAGGCTAGTAGCGAAACCATGAATGAATGGAAAATGTAAAAATAAAGTGTGCCACTGCATGCTGAGAGCTTGATAGTGATGCCAGGAAAACCAGGCTAGCTTTAATGTGTGTTCATTCAGAAGATGGCGAATCTGTGCAGTTAGAAGGCACTCAGTCTAAAGTCAGATGCACTTACATATTCATTGATGGTATTCCATTAAAAATCTCTTCTAGGAACACAGCTTTTTATAGTATATGGTCCATTTATGAACTATATGTTGGTAACCTCTATAAGGGATTTACAGTACATTCCATTTGACCAATTCCATGGATGTGGGCAGATCTGGACCTTTACCAGAAGTGCAGTAGGGAGAAAAAGTGGCCCAGGAGATGTGTCAGTGATTGACAATAACATAATGGCAAGGCAAAGCGAGCTAAGTTGCTGCTTAGGGGCCCTAGACCTTCATGGGACCCCATTAAAATGCTTGAATTTTAACATTTGTTCACTGAGAATTGTAACAGTTTCAGCAGAGGTACATTTAAAGATTTTAACGTCAATGCCAACTTTATTTGTAGCACATTTCCAATAACTCCTGCTGCACAAAGTGCTTCAGAAGGTATATGCAACTATGAAAAAATAAAATACATAGGATCAAATATTAAAAAGCAGCAAAAAAGCAATAGAAGAAAAAGAGAGATATTTGGATTGACGTGCTAAAAGCCAGGTCATAAAAGTGAATCTTCAAGTTTAATTTCAAGTTGCTTGACGTTCACATTTAAGACAGGCTTTGTAAGAAAACGCGGGCATTTCAAACGTCACTCGGCACATACAAAGCTGGACAGAGCCATACAAAGATGCTTTATTTCATCTTTCTCTGCTTGTAATTTTTGTTCTTTTACCTGCCGTAAGCTTCGTCGATCTTCACTAATTGCTTATGTTCTTGTAATTTGTTGTACATATTTGTGTAAATAAAAAAGAGCCATACAAAGATGGAGTGAACCGTGAACCCTGTTCTCCTACGGCGATTCGTGAGCGTGAATGCGCATGCGCGTTCATTTCCGTTACTTCGTGGGTTTTTTTTTTTAACCGTTAACACGATGGATAAAGATCCGAGCGCGAGCGAACAGCACACTTTTCTCAGAAGTCAATCAACGAGGGCGGTCGAGGTAAGCAGGAACTTACATGAAATCTTCTTACGCTCTTGTACAAATTGTGCTGTTAGAGCGGGAAACTAAACTCACCAAACGGTATACTTAATAAGTAAAAGTTTTAAAATTATTACTGAAGAGCAAATAAAACTTTATGCTTCTTTAATGGCAAGGTAAGCAGCAACTATTTCGCAAAGGAAGTGAACAGGACCTCATTAGTTAATTCAGTGATATGTTACATCACCTTGTATCTTTTTCAAAATAGCTGTTGTAAATTTGAACCACTGTCACAAACTTAAACAACATGAGAAACAGCACCCAACATCTAAAATTGACTGTGACGTCACACTACTCTAATAAGATTACTGTAGTAGCACTGCAATAAAACTCCATAAAATGTCTGATGAGTTTTTATTAACAGTTTCTGGTTTATTGCATTGACAGCTGCAAAAAACAAACAAACAAAAAAACAACAAAAAAAACAGGACGATGTTTTTGCAGTTCTCTCGTTTGTGAAACATGATTTCTGATAACGTTCTTCGGGAAATGATTTTGTAACTGCACAGATCGTAATCGTCTGCTGAGACAGCTTACTGATGAACTTTCCAGAGCCCCTGTAGTCAAAGAATCTACTGTGAGACGGAGGAAAAATAAGGTTATTTAAGCCACATGTGTGAGAACCAGATANGAATTTGAAGATCTGAACAGTTTAAGAATGAACTTTGTCTCTTTCAGCTAATGGACGTCTCCAGGCTTCTCCTGTCCATCGTCATGGTGATGTCCACATCTGATGGGATATCAGGTAGTGCGTGCATAAAGAACATAGACAAGAGAAAAAAGTCATTACTCTTCATCATTTAGAGCAGGGGTCCCCAAACTTTTTCCTGCGAGGGCCACATAGCTGTTCCTTTCTGTGGTCGGGGGCCGGTCTTAGTTTTTGCAGTAAAAAAAAACAAAGAAATTCTTGTACGACACTTTTGGATAGATTTTTACCCAGAATGCAAATGGAAAAAACCGTGAGTGAAACGGTGACTGACGAGTATATATTCCATTGAGGGAAAGTAAGTTTCACATTTGCTCAAAAGCCCCCTGGTGGTTGAAGAAAAATCCACATATAAACCGGAAAATACAATATATGAAAAAAAACACTGAATGCTCTC